GTGTGTGTGTGTGTGTGTGTGTGTGTGTGTGTGTGTGTGTGTGTGTGATAGAGAGAGAGGGAGAAAGTGAGAGAGCCGTAGAAAAGAGGAATAGAGTGAGAGTGTCTGTCTACCAGCTCATGACAGTCAAAAGACAGATGACCCTGAGTAGAGGAACGGCCTCCCTGCCTGTATAACATCTATCATCACTGAACAGACTTGTCTTCCACTGTGCAGTGCACTTCCCTTTGTGTGTGCACCTGTGTGTGTGTGTGCGTGATAGTATGTGTGGGGTTATTACCTACAGATGAGACTCATGCTTAACTGGAAAACGACTGGCCTTCCCCGTAACTGCAGTCCAAATATATATACTCTGACATACTGATGCATGAGTACATGTACACACATACAGACACACACACACACACACGCATACACATTCATTCTTTCATTACTTCTGAGGACATTCCCTTTTATTCGCATTACTTTCCTGGAAGAAAGCTTCACCTAAAACCATGTCTACTATTCATCTCCAAAGGGCAGATGAGTTGCCTAGTACTTGGTCGAAGATTATATTCTTTCTCATATAAAAACGCGTGTTTGAAAAATTAGAAATGTACATTTGTTGGAAAGAAAAAAACAGACCACTTATGGGGCAAAACTTGTAGTATAAATTCAGGAAGAAAAGGTGATAAAGGGGGCATGGAAAGAGCTCATTGATCTGAAAAATACATAATTTTTATAGACCTAGTGGTGGTGTGATGTCATGGCTCTGCTTAGCTTCCCCTGGCACTGTCTTACTGGTGTTTATTGATGATGTCGCAGAAGACAGAAATAGCCCCATGAATTGTAAAGTTTTTGGGATATACTGTGTGCTGAGACTCAGCCAAATGCTGTGAATTGGACTGAATGAGGCTTCACATTACGGATGGAAAATGGCCGAAAACATACCGAGAAAGAAAGCCGAGACTTTTTGGGAGTTAAAAATCAGTAAAATTCTGCAATATTTAGCAAGTCAGCAGTCCGAGCTCAGCCCAATCAAACTGCATTAGACAGAGCTAAAAGCAGCAGAAAGACCTACAAACTGAACTGGCAAAAGCCTGAAAAGTACTGTAGAGAGGAAGAAACAGTGTCATGTTTATGGACCCCAATAGTGGGTTATTAGCAGCAACTGATTCTTAACAGTTTATTTATTTTGTATTTATGATGTTAAAGAGCTGCACATTCTAAACTCTTTCTGAATACTACACATATAAACTTTCCTGCTCAGTTGAATGCTTTAAAATCTGAATGCCTACATACTTCTGTGTATAGTTTGGATTGCTGTCAGAATGATATCTGAACATGGTGTGAGGACAGAATGATGCCAGATTTGAACCTCACTACACTGTTGTGTAATTCAAGGATTTTGCTTTGTTAAAATACGTTTCTAATTGGTTGCAGATAAACAATTTACCTACAAGCTAAATCAAAGCAACACATTTTTTTTTGTTTGTTTCTAAGGACAAAAGATCCAGAAATGGGGTTTTATATTTATTTAGTGAGCACTGTCTGCATTAAAAGAGTCTGAATTGCACAGATATAGTATCACTTGTCAACTTTCTCCCCCTAAAAGACTAAATTCTACGTATAAGGGCACCGGTTGTTTCTGTTTTCCATGGGGAGGATTTGTTTTAAACTCCTCTCTCACTCGTTTCCCTTTGAGGAGTTGATTGGCCACGGAGGCGAGAGAAGAATTCCCACCCTAAACCCTTGTGAAAGCCAGGCGAAGGGTAAAAGTTTTGCAATCAAAGAAATGCACGGATGCAGAAAAACAAAACACCGAACAACCTTGTGACAAAAAGTAACAGAAAAACAACAGCTGTGTTCTGGCACCGCACTGCATTGTGTGACACGGTGCTAAGAGAGAACATAAGATTGATCATGTCTTTTGAATGTATTTTTTCCCTTATTTCCCCACCTGAATAGCAGGATGGAGAAAATGGAGTAAGTTCTCAAAATCCAGAGATGCCTAACGGGACTGAAAAAACAAAACAATACTGTGTTAGAGGGAAGAAAAAAGGACCCACTGCTCCTTGACAGACAGCACTCACCTGTCCTCAGAAGACTGCCTGTTTCCTCGACATTTGTCAGAGGTACTCAGCAGAATCCCCGGGGGGATACCTTGGGCTTTGATACTGCTTCAGTTTAGTGTAGTGGTTGTCAAAATGAAAGGGAAAAAGGAGAGGGTGTAAAGGGAGAATTGTAGAGATGGATGACAAGGGCTCAGAAGAAAGGTAAGGCAAAGCTTTATATAGGGAGGGCAGCATGGAAAAGAGTGCTGAAGGTGTTAAGATCCATGAATAGACGGAGTGAAGAGAAGGGCTTGACTGGTAGCTGAGGGAAAGATGCATGTAGGTTAGTTAGAAGATAAAAGAGGAGTGGGACGGTAAACTAGCAGAGGTAAGGATGAAGTTTTCATGCAGGCGGATCCCTTTAGTAAGTAGTCTTTTAAATGGTTTGCAGTGATTGATATTTTTGTGATATAGCCTTGTTTTGTTAAAAAATAATTCCCCAGTAATTTACTGTCAGGCTTAACACTCCACACCACTGTTTACTTGGTCATTTTTCTTGGAGTATGGGACAAAAGGCCTCCTGTTTTCCCTCACAAAATGGCCATCAGTCAAAGCGAACATGTTCTCTTTATGATCAAGAGATGCGCATGGCTTTTATTATCTCTCACTCTCTTCACTGCCATCTCTCCCTCTCTCTTTCCTCTTGTTATGCAGACTGTGAGCTCTGAGGGTGTCTGTGTGCTTTGCAGACAGAAGGGGTGGTATTTCTCAGCTCACCTTTTGAAAATGTCATAATGAAGTTAAGATGCATGGTCCCTCTTTATGTTCATCTGTCAAAATATCAAAACTTTGCAGGCAAATGTTAACCCAAGGTTTGAGTTTATTGAAACATCTTCAATTAGTCTATTTCTTTCCCTTGCCCATTAGCATCTCGGAAATTCCAACGAAGGTCTTTGTTTATTTTTCGTACAGTGTATATAATGTGCATCCACGTTAATATACTGCTATGTGCCCCTTTTGTGAAGTGATCTTAGATTATAATTAGTGATGCTAATATGTTGTTAAAGTGAATTTCAGAAGGATTTTTTCTTCCGCATTCAGTTCTCAGTTTAGAATTAGAATTATGAACACCATCCACATAGTACATTTTGTAATGTACCAAACAAACCAAAGTAAATGTTTGTTTTCAAAATGCGTTGGACAAGTTTTATGCATGAGTGGAAAATATATTTCAGCAAAACAAACCAAAGCATTCATTTCAATGAAAATAGAAATGAGCTATCCCTCACAAGCGTTTAATACGTTCTCATGGTAAATCTCAAAAAGCGAATAGAAAGAAACATAAAACAACACGTATCTGATGAATAATTCAGTTTAATGTATCATTTCAGTGCTGGGCAGAAGTCAAAGATAGACCAGGATTAAAAGACACTAAGAAATTTTTCACTTTGACACTTTAACATTTCACTTTCAGTTGGTGCTTAGTATTCAATTGTGTGTATGATTATGTTTCACTTTTTGTATTTTGAGTCGTAAACTGGCACAACAATTTCTCTTGGGATCAATAACGTTGATCTTATCTTATCTTTTATTATCTTATCTTAACAGAAAAGGCCCATGCACTGGAAACCTTAGGACAATCATCTCCAGAGGCCTATTTATTGTTTAAGTGGCTGTGCTTTGAAATTGGACAGATGACTAAAACAGTTGTGCTGATTTCCTTCCTATTGTTTTTGTTAATATATTTGAATCCAGCCCTAAAAGACTGTTAAGGTGTCACACAACAGAGAGAGGAGTTCAGTTTCGGAGTCTACAACTCTTTTCATGTATTTTCTCCCAACATCTTTTCTCAAATCGAACAGCATACAACCAATGTCGCTTTTGTCATTTTAATTTTTTCTCTCAACAAATACTAGAGAGGGAGGTATAATTATTTCCAAAGATGATATTTATGGAATGAGCAAACGATTAAAAGAAGCTCTGTGTATTGTTTTAAAGGCTGCTTTTTGTTGGGATCGTCTTTAAGGATTTTTGTCAGTCACACATGAAATCTGACAAACTTCTGGGATATGTGGAAACATCTGTTGTTTCCACATTACCGTGTAATCTATCATCTACACCCTCTGCACTCACCAGTGGCAAATACGAGAGCAGCAGGGAGAGGTGAGGAAAGGTCAATGATCATGTTTTCACACTGGTTCATACTAACGTTAAATTTCTCAATTTCTCCTCCAGGGAACCCAGCCGCCCGACCAGCCTTCTGCCTGCTGAGTGGAGTGCAGGGCTGGGTTTAGGTAGGGAAGATGAGCCTCTACCTCCGGGGTTGGAGACTCCACTCATTCCGCTCAGACTAATGCAGCAGGACTGCACTGCTGTTAAAACCTTGCTTTTAAGACTGAGGAGGACGCTGCAGGAGGTGGGTCATGCATATTCGCAATGCTTGAGCACAAAGGCTCTTTTTGACAAGCACTTTTGTACAAATGAAGGAATTAATAATGAATTGTAAGATGACATCATGGAAGCTTTCTTTATTCAATAATCCTATGCGTGACTGAAGAAGAGCACCAAACTTATCTTACAGATTCCAAAAGGCTTCATTTTATTTTAAACCAGTAAGGGCGGGACGTTAGCTAATGACAACTGGAAGGTGATCTGGAACACATGGCACTTTTCTCAAAATTCCTTACCATATAAATCTGCTTTATGAACTCTTGTCACTCTTGTCAAGTAGTTTCTGTTTCAAGCCTTCAATTGTTTTGTTTTGTTGATTTAATCAGGTTCTAAATTTTAACACTAGGAAACTTATTTAATTGTCTAATATTAACAAAAACACTTTCACGGTGAACAAATTAATACTCCTGTCACAGCTTGTGGCTGGGACAGGCTTAAAATAGCTTTAAATCCTTTGGCTTTTTTAAATCTAAAGTTTCACCACAGGCTGTGGATCCATCTTTATGTGACTGTTTGGAACATTGGAAAATGACATTCACACAATTATGTGTTTGATTAGCTGTAATTATCACTTAAGGAGTTATTGAAATGTTGCGATAGCTTCACAAGCTTCAGCTGTATAGAGCAGGAGGCAATTTTAACAGCCTCTTCAGATGAACAGCTCAGTGCCAGAATTCAAAATGAATGCACTAATGTTCTTGCTTTAAAACGTAAACCCAAAACATAAAAAAATCCCCTACAGAATGTTATTTAGGAGCAGCGTCTGCTATAAAAGGAGTTGACATGAATGATGAGTCATACATAGCCATTTTAGCTTCATATTGTTGTAAAAACCATGCCAGCAGGACAAATACACACCTAGTTGTACAGTGATTGAGGCTTCAATGCTTGATTTGAGGATATTTGTGAGTCCATCCTCAAAAGGAGTAGTTATTTTGGAGCAGGCGTTGATGTTTCTTTGTGACCTACATGGATGACTGATGTGTACCAAATACTCTGTATGAGTATTATAGAGGTAGAACCAGAAATAAACAAAGAATACCTCTGTAAGAGTGACTGGATCTTTGAGAAAAACACACTTTAGTATCTCTAAACTCTGTGAAAGATCAAAGCTAGCCGCGAATTGCAGTCGGCAGAGGCATGACTACTGCTTTCTCCTGATCTCTGTGCTGTTCATCTATGTTGTTCTACTGGGGCCTGTATGAGAGAGAAACAAGAACAATTGAATAATTATTTTGAAGAACGACATAAACTAAAGTGATTATGGAGTGCAAGAGTGATAGGTAATACACATCAGTACAACAAAGAGAATATTCTTTGCTTTGCTTGCTGTGCTCATTGTATCATTAACCCGCAAATTATCTTTGGTTCCAGCAAGAGAATGGACAGGGCTTGCCTGGTTTTCAGCCTTTTTGTATTTAGCCTCAGACACTTAATGTTCTTTTGTTTCTGTCAACTATCAGCTCATCAGAACCCCTAAAATTAAACTCATCCCAAAGGCTGACTGCATCTGCATTCATTTATATAAAAAGTACTGTTAAAAGTAAAAAAGTCTGAGTTAATTCATTGTGTATTGCTGGTGTTAGTCTAGGCAAACATAAAAATCTATTTTCAGGGTTTGAAAGAATTGAGCCTTTCTTTAACTGTCAAAGGGCGAGAAGCAGAGCACAACGTGGGGAGGTCACCATCATTAAAACGATGAACACAGATTCAAATCGAGACATTTAGCTTAGCAAATTCACAGAGTAACCATTACACAGTACGACCCAGGTGACAGACGTATAAATACAGTTATAAATAATTCAGATTATTCATGATGTCCAATGTTTATTGTATATCCTCTTTGTCAAACTGGCACTTTAGCCAGCCACTTTCTGCTAAAGTATATTTCTTTCAGCACTTCATCCTGTTCCTGCCGCTCGGAGGAACTTTTCTAAACTGCCACTGCCTACATTGCTGTGTTAGACAATGATCCCCATTTATCAACGTCAGAAACGGATTCCAGCTAAACCGAGATGGCTCATTTGTTACATTACGTACTTTCGCAGCCTTTGTGGACACAGTGCTATATCCGAAAGTTCTGCACCAGGTCCAGGCGACTCAAAGCCCCGAGGCAGCTGCTGTTCACTAACCAGCTTGGAAAAAAAAAGTGGCATAGGAGCAAATGTGTAACCATTTAACTTTTCTAAGGGCTAAGTGGACTCACCTACTGCCAAACTCTGTGCTGTACCTTAGATAAAGTTTTGAAAGAGATAACTAACCTGAATAACGCTCAATTGAAACTGGAACATCCAAGAATTAAACTGCGTGCCAGATTTCTTCGACTGGGACCTTTTTCTAAAAAACCCAAATGTCAATGAGAGGGACTAAGAATGAATGCCCCTTTTCTCTGTTTGAAGGGTTTAATTTCTTGATTTAAGTGATGTGTGAATGTGATTAAAGGTGTGCGTCCACTTCAAAATCTGCTTTCCATTCTAAGGCCGTTCATCATCTGTGGGCATTGAGTTTCAGTGTAGTGCAGGTCATTAAATTCATGGCTACCCAGCAGTCAATTCTTAAATCTGAGAGGCTTTTTACTGAGCCACATCTAATTGTTGGGACAGTTGTGTGTTAAGGCCTGTGGGACAGGGGTGACCTTAAAGAGAATGTGTTTGTGTTGGAGAGGGAAAGAGGGAGTGGACGTGTGTGTGTGGATGTGTATGTGTGTGTGTGTGTGTGTGTGTGTGTGCACAGAAGTGTCAGTGAGTGCATGCCTGTCTCTCTACATAGGGAAAGGCATTGATCACTGATGACACATTGAGGGCCTGGCGCCATAGCACACCTATAATTCTGATAGGGAGGTGTGTGTCTTTAAAAGGTCAGCCAAACCAATAAACTATCAAGTTTATGCTGTGCAAAGATGTGGGCTCCAATGTTTCTCAGAACTTTGCTCAAGTAGCTCACAAAATTGTATATTATTCAAACATCACCCTAAAAGTCAGTAGTACGGAATATATTTGACATAGTATCTCCTCTGAAAAGCAGCATGTAACATCCACATTTGGCAAGAGACTACAGGAAATCCAGCTGTGTTTCGAGTAGAATAAACCTCATGCTATTTGATTTCTTTTTTTTTACCTTTCCAATTTCTTCATTCACCTTTGTCGTGTAGTGCTGTCATGTTGTTACTATGCAGCTTTAGACCAATATCAGCAGTCCTGGCTGATTGTCTTATTCTATCCTCTCCTGCTTTCCCATCTGTCCTGTTATAAGCCCTTCCATGAGACATCTAGACCAGCACCTGCTCTTAGCAGAAGTTCCTCTGTGTGTGCATGTATAGGTGGGGAAGCATGTGCATCCATTGTCACATGAATGCATGCCTGAAGCATGTGCACATGGATTTGGACCCCCTCAGTTAGCTGAGATTACATTTTGAATTGCCTGTGAGATGATCATCAGAAAATACTACTAAGTTGTAGAAGTCTGCATTGTAAAGGCAGAGTCAGAAAGAAGATGCTAAAACATCTTTGGTTTTTCAATGAACTGAAACGCTGATTGAGACTCAGCCTTTGAGAGCCTTCTTATGCATGTTACAAATGTCTTAACAGCACTATTCTCACCAGAACTGTCTTGTTGATGGTATCCTACATTTTTGTTCTGTTTTTCAGAGCACAGAGACAAGTCCTGCCAGTAGCCTCCAGTCTCTGCCCATCAGCCCTTGCAGTGAAAAATCCCTTCCATTTAAGGTAACCTAAAGCAGACCTTTTGGTCCGACGTTATTGCATCTGTCTGTGCGAATGCTAATTGCAGACAGGGAAATGAGAGCGGAGGTAGAAGGTTCTTTTTGTGCGGCATTGTTGTCTCTAACGCAGTATGTAGAGTTGCCCATGCAAAAAACGGCATGCTCAGACTGTGTCCTTTTCATCTATGGCTGCTGCACAGTAACTGACAAAATAAGCCGCAAAAACAGTGGCTCACAATGGGGAAAAAGTTAAATAAAGCACATCAGGTTTTTGTCTGTTAGTTATACTTCCTGACTGTGTATTTTTTGCATTTGATTGTATCTATGTGACGGACAAACAAGTCTTATATGCATTACCCTAAACAATGGCCCTCTGGGCATCTTGTAACTCACAAATAAGTGGTTTATGGTAACCTAGCAACTACATAGCTTGCTCAGTGTTGAGAATTCTTTTTTCCTCAAGTTTCATGTTCATTAAAAAGGAAGACTCTGCAGCCCTGGTTTTTGGTTTTAGTGGGCAGTCACTGACAGTAAGGTATGTTTCATCATTTCTAGTCTTAATAAATCAGTGCAAGAAGTGCTACCAAACATCATAAATGTATCCCCATACAAGTCCATAGCTGAAAAGGGCAGTGAAATTAAATATAAAGAAATGTAGAATTAGAATATTTGTAAATAAAAAAGAATTCACTCTGAATAAAAAAAACCCAACAACTATGTTTCCCAGAGAACAGTCAAAGTCAATGTCAAGTTTATTTATTTAGTGAATTAAAAATAACCATAGTCCCATTGCCCAAAAGGCTGCATAGTCTGAAAACGAATAATACCAAATAATTTTAATTAAAGAAAGTAGGGAAAAATTAATTAGGTGAAGGTAAATGTGTTAAGATTTGTTAAGAAGTCATAAGAAAGAAATACCTTTTAAGTAGGGACTTGACCTCACGGTGTCTGAGGAGCTCTGATATGAAGAGGCAGACTGTTTCATAATTTAGGAGCAGCCACTGAAAAGACTGTCACCCCTGGTTTTGAGACAGGAAAATGGAAAAATGATGAATTATGATAATAAAGAATACTGAGGCAGTTTAGTTTTGGACCATAATTGTAGCTCTTTGCATTCCACCGCTTCTGTTTCTCTGTTTGTTGATCCAGAATTCTCTAAGAGTCGTCATAGAGCTTTTACTGTGCTCTGTTGTTGGGGAGCAGGTTCACAGATCCACACCTTTCTACACAAATTTATTCCTCGAATTTAGTTTTAGCAACTTTCCGTACAGGCTGTCACTTTAGATAATGAAAATAAATGAAACCCTGGAAAACGTCACCAAAGTAATACAATGTTTTTCTTTATTTCAGCAGCCTTGCTTTTTACAGAGCTTCTACATACGCACACAAGCCAAAACATCACTTGGAACTAGTGAAGTAAAAAAGAGCACAGCGGTCTGTCTGTGATTAAGAATATAAAGCATAATCCTCCTTTGATCCCTGAGTCTCCCTCAATTTCAGACTTATCTTAACAATTAACGGCCTTTTTTCCACACCAGCTCCTAATAAATTGCAAAGAGATCAAATAGGAAGAAAGACAGCGGAAGTGCGGGAATCTTCTGCGACGTGGAGAGTGATATGAAGAAAATGGTTTCAGGAAGAAAAAATGAAAAGAGAGGGAGGGAGTGTTGCGTGAGAGAAGGGCAAAGTGCCCTGTTTGCCTTGACAGGCTCCATATGCCCTCTGTCGACCAAGTCAATCAGAGCTGTGAAATCTGGATAAGATTTATTAATCTCTGTAGGGATCATATGTGTGAGCTGTGCAGCTTTTTAACAAGTGTGTATCTGCTCAAAGTATGTGTGAGTGCACTGTCGTCTTTGCTTTATACGAGTTTATTTTTTATATAAGGACAACATACTAGTAATGATTTTTGCGGTGGATTAGTCGTGTGTGTGTGTGTGTGTGTGTGTGTGTGTGTGTGTGTGTGTGTGTG